TGGCCGAGGAGAACCAGGAGAAGCGCTCGAAGGAGCATCTGCACGGCGTCGGCCGCACGATTAAAGTTCCAGACGCTCGCCGCCGCGCCAAAGCACATGGCGAAGTGGAACCAGAGCGTCACGCCCGGATGTCGAACCGCCCACTGACGGTAGGCGTTCTGAAGGTCGTGACCAAAGACCACGGGGTCCCAGCCTTCCGCCCAGGCCCGGAGAACCAGGTCGACGATGTCCCCCACAAAGTGGTGGGTGGGCACATCGGCGGCTCCCATGGTGGCGTTGTGTCCGGACCGGCGCCAGTCCTCGGTTTGGCGGAGCTTGAGGTCGCCGTGCTCGTCGACCTGGCAGATGGCGAAGGAGAGAGCCGCGAAGCAGTTGCCCGGCGGAGGTTGGCGAAGGACTCCCATCCCCGCCACCGACGCGAGGGCGGCGGTGGCCAGAGACCGGCGCCGTGCAGGGTCCCGTGACCCTGGCTAGGCGAGTCTCAGCCACCAGCTCGTCGAGGAGCGCCTGGGTGTGCTCCTGGTCTCGTGGGCGGGCCGACTTCCTGGCCACGTATTGGGGGTTCTCCCGGCGCAGCCGGTCCAGCCCTTCGGGGCGAGCGTAACGCTCGTCGGAGCGCAGCTTCCAGCCTGGGGCTGCGCGGACCCGGCCCAACATGTCGAAGCCCTCGTCCACGTCCTGTCGAAGGTCATCAGACGCCGGGTACCCCAGGCCCGGAGCAGCCGGTCGAAGACTGGTCCCTGAAAGGGGCGGGGCCGATCGCTCGTCTCTTAGGTCGCCCTCACGTGGGGGGGCAGAGCGCCCAGCCAGGCGATCGTATCCTCCGAGGCGTCGTCGACCATCTCCTGGAGCTCCCTGAGCACCTCGGCGCGGATGCGGACGAGGTCATGGCGCCACTCCCGGCGGAACTGGAGGACAGCCTCCAGGCCAGTGAGTGCTGCACACCGGTCGCCGCCGCCCAGTGTGCATCCTCATCCAGCCCCGCGCCCAGGAGGGCCAGCGTAGGCCGGGGTGGTGGGGAGAAGTCCCAGCCGCGACGCGACCAGACCTGACACAACCAGGGTATGGTGCCCCGACGTGGGGGCTGCGCCGGTACCCTACCTGACGCCACCGGCTTCGCCCAGGTCGCCATGACGAGGATCCCCAGCAGCCGGGCGGCGACGCCCCAATGCCAGCCGTGGTGGCGAGTTTTCGTGTCGGCCCCCGCCGTGGCCGTGTACCCGGCGGGTATATGGTGGAGCTGCTCCTTCACGTCTGGCGGTGGAATGTGGAGCACGCCCCGGGAGTCCTGGAGCATGGCCTCGACGGTGTTATGCCAGGGCGCGAACTGGCGCCCCCTTCCGCCCACCGTGCGTCGGCGTCTCGAGGCGTGCGCCCCCTGGTGGAGCGCGGCTTTGGCCGCCCGTCGTCCGTAGGAGCCGGTGTCGTGGCACAAGGCATCAGCTTACGCCCCTGGGCCACCGACGAATGGAACTGAAGGCCGCCTAGCTCGAAGGAATCGGCCGCCGCCCGGGCGGCTGCCAGGCGCAGGCGTCGGAAGGGCAGACGAAGACGGGCGACACGCCCAGAGCGTCGGACGACACCTTGGCCGCCTCCGCGTCCATCTCCACGTTCTCGTAGAGGAAGGCGAAGCGATGCTGGCGGAGGGCGGAGCGGAGCTCGTCCATGAAGGCGACGGAGTCCTCGAAGAGGCGACCGTGCTCGCCCTGGTGACCCGCCCCCTGGGCGATCCGCGAGAAGTCCTGGCACGGCGGGGCGGCGCACCACAAGACCATCGCCTCGGCGTTGGGGTCAGCTTCCAGGACGAGGTCGGCCACGTTCTTAGGCGAGTCGCGGGAGAGGTCGCCCCTGTGCTCAATCCACGGCATGGCCTGCTGTACCAGGGCCTTGCACGCCCGGTCGACCTCCCAGGACACAGCCAGGCGAGGGCGCCCAAAGTCGCGGTCGACAATGTACGGCGCCGCCCCAATGCCGTCGAAGGCGGAGAGCAGAATGATGTCCCGCCCGCGAGGGCGGTTGGTGCTGAGACGCGGGCATTTGGCCAAGGGCTGGTCGGGTTCCG